TATATATAAAAAAATAAATAAAAAAATAAAATAATAAAATAATAATAATAAAAAAAAAAATAAAAGGCTGGGGCCAGAGAAGGCACTTCTCCATCGTGGGCTGCATGTAGCCAACAGCCTTCCTTTGGACATCAGGCCTGCCCTGACAGTGCTTTCCTTCTGGAAGCTGGTTAAGACAGAGCTCTTCTGGAGGGCTTTTGCAGCTTACGGGATGACACCATTGTGTGAAAGATTTTGTACATTGCTCTGGCTCTTTTAGAATAAACGTTGCTTTATTTCTGTTCATTGTTTATTACTGATCCCGTGGTGGCTTGTTATAGTTCCTCCAGCTGTTTTATGCTGGACTATGCTATGTACCACTGAATCTTTTGAGTGCGATGGCACAGAGGGGTGATACATAAGCAATCAGTCACTACACTGAGTGCCTTTGAAAGAAAAACCAGTGTATAGAAGGCAGCACACCAAGCTCAAGAATGAACATGCTTCCTACTGAACAACAATACTACTTTCCTAACACACCCCAAGCCTTCCCCACTGACGGAGCAAAACCTCCACTGAAGAAGAGGGCCACCCTCCCAAGGATGAGTCTGCCTGTGTCTCTTCTCTTCTCACCACCCACTCCTCCTCCCACAAACCAACCTGGCCATTTACCTGCTGAGCTAGTTTAGCTGCTGCAGCTGCCAGACCGGTCTCGACAGACGCCACTCTGGTCCCCTCACGCACAGGGCGGTCTTGCTTGGGCAGCGTTGGGGTCACCCGGGCTGCGAAGGGGGAAAGTTCACATGAAGAAGTTTCTACTCCAGCTTCCCCCAACCTTGGCGACCTCAGTCTAGGTGGAATTGTAATCCCCAGGTGGCCATTTGGGCTGGGGAATTCTGGGAGCTGCAGTCCAGAGATCTGAAGCACCCCAAGATTGGGGGAGGCTGCTCTACTTGCTCCCACTTGGTACATGTAAAACATATTCTTCACCTACATACTCATAAGGTCAAGAATAAGGTAACGGAGGCTCCATTGAGTGGAACTTCATACAATTCGGGCCACAAATCTGTAACTACAGCCTCACAGCCCTCACAGATGCAGTGCTCACTCTGAAATGCTCACCTGCCACAGGCAAAGTCCAAACAAAAAGAGAAAGGGAATAACTTGCATTTGTGAACAGAGTTTAGCCAGATATATTATGGAGCCAAGCTGTAACTATTGAGAGGGCAGGTCTATCAAAATTCGCAAAGCGAGGTTGCCAAGCTCTGTACTGTTTTTTAAATAAAATCCTTAAAAAAACCTTTCCAATACAGTCAGTGTATTGGAACACTCAAACAATGACCACTGCCGCTGAAAACCCACCCCTCCAACCCACATTTCAGATGACTCAAGCCAACCAGAGAGACCTCCACATTCAGAATTGCTGCCTTCCAGGCATTTCTACATGCTGTGATAATGCAGAGCTGCAATACGGGTTGTCTTGCTTGGTGCAGTTTTTTGTTTAAGCAGAGAAAACCCACTGCTCTACCTATAGCAGTGTTTCTCAACCTTGGCCGCTTTAAGCTGTGTGGACTTCAACTCCCAGAATTCCCCAGCCAGCTGGCT